TAATATATATATAATATATATATATATATATATATATATATATATATATATATATATATATTAATAAATTTATTATGTAGCTTTATTTTTTTGTTTATTCATAGAACATTATTATCCCTTAAAACAAATGAAGATTTATCCGAAGATGATGCTATTGATATCATCCATATATTTTTATATATATATATTTTTTTTAACATAGTTCATGTCTTTACATATACATCTATCCCATTCGTTGACGTGCAAACTAAGTTATACGTTTCACTCGATGCAAGCAAACAGCATACGGCAAATATTTATTCACAAAATGAGTTGGACGTGCGATTTAATATCACCAATACGTTCAATAATTTAAAAACGTGTGTTGTATTCGTAAAAAACTTTCAAAACAATAAAAAATTTAATCAGTATCTATATAATGTTTAATGTAAAATTTCAGAATAAAAAATCAAATCAATATGTGGTTATTATGATTTAAAACTAAATGTAATTGAAACTAGGCATTAATAAGTAAAATATTAAACAAAAGAATTAAAATTAAAAATACAAACAATATATTTATTATATCTGTGCTAGAAATTTAAACAAAGTATACGCTAAAAATTTGCAATACTAAGTCTGAAAGATTGTGTGATAAAGGAAAAAGTAATAACGGGGAAATAGCATTGAATCGTAAGAATCCTTGTTCGTAAAGAGATAACCAATAACCGCAAATCACTAGCTGCAAATATTCTCTCAATGGTAGCTTTGATCGAGCCGGCCGAAAAGAATCGTTCTCTCAGTCTATCGAGAGCTTCAAAGTGATAAAGCGAATGTGTTTTCGGCATCGTTGCCGACAGACAAACTCCATATTCCTATAGGCAATCGTATTAATTGAAATCGTTACTCGTCAAGCGTATTTGACATCGTTTCACGATATAAAATGAGAATAAATTGGCGAATAATTTTTGAAAGATCGAGAAGCAAAAGTGAGCAGTAAATATTTTCTGCCTGAAAATTTTCCTTCACAGAAAATATCTTGACACTGAATGAAAAATACGATGCAATTACGCGTTTCTTACACGAGAAGTTCTAAACACGTTTTTTGCATTGTTTATTAATTTAATTAAAATCTGTTATAATATATTTATAATAATTTATACGGATATTTTTCGTTACGCATTCTTTAATCTCTATCTAAAGTAAATATAAAAGTAAGATTGCAAAATTTAACAAAACAGAAAATTAATTCAATAAATTAGCGAGAAAAGTTATATTAAAAAAAATGCAAAGTTAATAAATTGCAATTTTCCTATTAAGTAAATTTTCTATTAAATAATGATTAAAGCTTACGTCATCATAAAAATATTTCCATAGAATTTTATTCTATCATCAATAAAATTATATTATATTATATTATGTATTAAATACAAAATTGTAAATTGAAAAATATAATATTTGCGATTTAAATTAATTTTCTATTTATTTATAATATTATAATTCATGAAACATACTAAAGTATGCTGATGAATTTAGCAAAAGTGCAGTAAATAAAATCGAAAGAAAATAATCCTTGGTTTTTGTTGTTTGAATTTTCTTTTGTATTTTCTTGTTGTATATATGAAATCTAATGGCAAGGATTTGCGTGACAAAGATACCCGTCGTACAGCTTGCACGTTTCTCTCCTAGTCATGCCTTTTCGTGACACACTTCCGCTATGTCGACGTTCTTTATGTATGAGTAACACGGATGCGTTTTGTCATGGCTGACTCATTGGCGCGACGTAATTGCACCTTGCGACAAAGACTAAAAACTTACGGTATAGCGCAATGTTCATCACTCGTAGTGTCAGCCTGGGTAAATGCGAACAAAATTACGAGTGATGTTACGAATTAATTTCTGTTGCATCACGAATCATGAGATATCGCGGTTGATATTAACGAAGTTATCGCAAATGTTTTCTAAATACCAAACAGATGTTATAATGAATAGATAAAAATTAATTTCCTTTTTATAAGCAGAAAAGCCAGATTTCTTAACTAGCACTAATTTTGCCAAGTTGTCTATAAATTCTCTAGCTTTTAGCCATAACAGACAGTGTACGTTTTATATGTAATATATTTCATGTTATAAACTGACTGTCGACATGATATACAATCTATCAGACGCGTTGAGCTCAGCTCAAAGCGGAATCCAGCAGCGGGGAATAAAAAAGTACGAATTTCACGGCTTCCATCTGAAATGGCGCAAAATTGACATACGGATTCCCCATGACGTCGACATTATTCGACAGACTTTGCGGAGATACACAAACTGCGCGATTTCTGATCGAAATGCAAAAGAATTTCATTTCGTGACCGACAATAGCAATGTAACAATGAATTTCAATGAAATGTATCACGGATTGAATTTTTATGGATTTATAGATTCACAGATAGATTGTTCCCCACAAGGAATAAATTCGTCGAATCAAATAAAATGATCACATTATTTATCACTACACGATCTAATAAAAAGACGAAAAATCTTAATTGAGGATTAATCAAGCGATTAATCAAGATAATTAACGTCATCGAACATTGATAAAGTGCATAAACATTCGTCAAGTGGAAAGGCACGATCGTTTCAAAACAGGAGTTTCTGCAACGTATGCTGTGATTAATCGATGCAACGTGTCGCGACGCAAAAAGTTCACGACGCGTGTATTGGCCGCATAATGCACAAGTTGCATATGTGCATTACACGAACAAAACCTTGAATCTCCGGCTAATAATCTGCAGTTGCTATAATTCCCGTTAATCCGTTTTTTCTCGTGTTTTGAGGAAGAAGAAAATAATATTAAATTCGGAACATATATTTTTATTCCGCTCTTCGTGATTTTTATTTATGAGACGTATACTTTACAAAAATTTCTAGAAAAATGATACATCAAATTTTGACACAATAAGCAGAAAAACGGCGAAAATATTTCCTTCTGCGAGACAGACGTGTCTCGTTCGATTGCAGTGGCGGTGAATCAAACAGTAGTATAACTCAACGTCTCGTCGGCCATGGGAAGTAGAAAAAGTCACGACTGAGCGCGGCCAAATGTTTACGACCATCGTGAAACGTAAAAAATTTATAGCACGCTGAAGAACATGGAAATGGAATTAACAAAGACGTGATCGTTGCTTACGATATCATATTCCGTATGCATATTGTCAGAGAGGTAATAAACATCGCGCGATATTGTTATTATGTACGGAATAGATTATTATATATGTACGGAATAGTCGTTACCATAAATGTCACGTAATGGAAAATATTCATATTTACTGATACATTGATGAAACAATCGCGAGAGTTAATATTCGTCGTGTAAATAATATTTCGCAGGATTACCCAAAAACATGATGAGTTTTAGCTTACGACTTTGCGAATGTTGAAAGTTTTGTTGATCTTGTTTCGCGTGTTCTCTGCTCTGCCCAACAGCAGGTTCCTGCCATTATGAACTTTTCCACTTATGTGACCAATTAAAGGGACTCCGCTTTCACGAAAGATCCTCACTTTCCAATTCCAACATCGAATAAAAGTTTAAATTTAAAAAACTAAATGTATCAACGAAGAACTTTTTCGTCTGGTACTCTCGTATTTATGGGACCAGCATGGAAACGCGGTTTTGAAAAGGGTTTCAACCGGGATTAAACTACGCTGAAACCAATTTCAAATTAAAACTGATTGTGGTATATAACGTATTGTTTGATTTAGCTTTAGCTATATAGGTACATACGAATGTAACAGCGTATTAATTAAACAAATATTAATATATTTTATATAATCGATTCGCCGTTGGCTTTATCTGCTTCACAAGCTGATTAAATTCCACAAAATCTCTGAAAAATGATACTGTATAAGCCAACCACGATTTAATTATTATCAAACTTTTTCTCATTTTTTTATATAGTTCTTAAATAGTCGCGCTTATTTATTTGCATTTTATACATTTGTTTTAAATAAATTGTACATTAACGATATTGATAAAATAAAATAATTTCTCTTAAGATATATATTACACTACGCGTTATTGAATTTTAATTGTATAACAATTCCACAAACAATTTAATAAACGATAAAATTTGTAACATGATTCTTCTAATTAATAGTGGCGTTATGTACATTCCAAATAAAATTATATCATTCAAAATGATACCAATCAGATTGCTATATTGTATCAATTATATCAATTATATTATATGTACAAAGAAAACAGTTCAAAGATTTTATTTGAAAATAATAGTGGAATAGGAATTTTGCACTGCAAGATTTATGAATTAATTCATTAAGGTTGCCGGATTTCTTGTTGCAATTTGCCGAGTAAAAAACTACAGAGATACCCGTCGTTTCCAAAGGCAACGATACTTTGAAAAGGGCAACAGCAAAAACCCCAGTCAGTTTGAGTGATGCGACTTAGCGGACGAAAGGGTGGCGAGCAGGGGTTGTAATGGAATATGTTTTGCTACTAGAGAGAAGAAAGAGAGTTTCGTTCCGGAAATGTCCGCGCTCTTAATGTCTGGAACACATAGCGTACCTTTTGTTTTTACAGAAAATATATCAGATTGTATGAACTTTTAAAAGGAAAGCTATGGTGCAAAATAACGATAGCTGTAACAATGAAAAATAATAATAATTATGAACCAGAATAAGAAGAGATAAAAGTTCGTGTTTCCAGATAATCATATCCTTTGTGAATAAATAAAGAAAATCTCCGACGAGGAGCGTGTCGTAAACAGTACGTTCTATTGTATAATTAAACGTATCAATGTTAAACTTACATTAAAGCGTAAAAAAATCCGAATAGTGATAAAAATATTTGACTAAATTTTATTTATTAAACAAAACGCGCAAGCTCACGCACACAACACAGGTTAAAAAATATGTGAAACATTGTAGAATCTTGACAGTTGCAAAATAAAATACATCTTGAGGAAGCTTGTGACGTAAACGGGCTCGGCCTGACGGATATATTCCCTCGGCCGTTAATTCTGGCTATAAGAATGTTTTGAGAGGAAACACTTCCGATCGGTTTCTTTAATCCCGGCTATATGTTACTCCTGCCAGGTTGGCGGAACCGAAGTGAATTGCAAGTATCTGGACGTACCCTCTCTCGACCAATTTATAATTGCAATCGAGGATCGAGGAAAAAACCTCCCTCATCGTAAATCCTTAATGAACGTTTGAATATCGTCCATTCGTTACGCCTATCAAATATTGATCAATCGAGATTTTATTTATACGGATCACGATAATGCTCACGGAACGCTATCGACTATTCTCCAATTGATCCATTGGGGATTGGTCATTCGATACGCCTGCAATTTCAAGCTTGGTCGCTATAATATGCATGCATCAGAAAATATCAAGATACGAAAAAGCCATACAGGATGCTGCTACCGAAAATTGTATCGGTATATATTTAAAATTTAATATATACGATTGCTGCGAACGAAAAGTAACACAAATACGATTTAGTAACACTTTGCTGAGCACGCAGAAAATACATATATTCTATTTTTCCTTCCAAGAATTGCTTTTCTCATCCGAACCCAAATATTTGGAGTTAAATTACAATATGTTTGGATGAGGTTTAATAATAATTTTTATTTTTGATGCAAAATCGAATTATACTTTTATATATTTTTCTCTCTATATTTGCATAATAATTTATATAGAAAAATTCAGTAAACTTTTTACAGAACAAGAATTTCCTTAAAGACAGAATCAACGGCTACATGGCTAAATTCGTTTTGTTTTGCTAGCGTGTTTTATTAAGGGCGCGTCTTCAGATCTTTTCTTACGAATCGTAACGTCTGCGCTATGTACTGCGTATATACAGAAATGTACGCTGTATATAATGATGGAAGTAAATAACCGCAGAGAGAGAGAGAGAGAGAGAGAGAGAGAGAGAGACGACGAGAGTAGAAGAGTAGGAA